CTTATCCCCTCCTCCTTTGTCTGTCATATCACTCACCTGCATCAGATCCCGTCCCTTCTCTGGCCTCTCTCCCGACCCAGGTCCCGCCACAGGCTGCACCTCCTCACTGAGTCCGGGGCTCAGGATGCCCTTACTTGTCACTGGCCTCAGATCACTTGCCTTTTAACTCCTTAAGAGCTGGCCTGAGCTATGTTGTTTCTGTTTGGGGCGGGCCAGGGAGCAGTCGGGAATCAGGAAATGAATCAAGTATACGTGCCTTTCCACCTACATGTCCCAAATAAGGATACCTAGGGAGCTAGTGTATCTGCCTAAACAGGTTCAACAATGAGGAAACTTCACTCCTCACACTCAAAGACTGGATTTGGCCTCTGGCCACATGATTTGACTACTAAAGCACCTGACCCAGGTGTCAACCGCAAATGAATTTCAGGGAGAACTGCCATTTTTCTCCTATATACATCTCTGGTTCATGATTCTGGGAAGAGCCAATCACTGTGGCCATAAGAATAGCTTTTTCTCTAACCTGAGATACAGAGGGAATAGCCTAGAATATTGTTTTGTATGATTTCTTGTCATCAGGACTTCCTGCTTATCTTTTGGAGGAGATGGAGGAGTCAGGGAAGCGGATGAATCATCCCAGTCATGATGCCCAACACCACCCCAGCTCAGCTATTCTGCAGTGATTCACTCCTCTGGGCCCCTCAGTGCCAGGTGCTGAGCAGGGCCACCTGGCCTTACCTGGTGAAGGCACCTAACCCCTTTCATCCTTCACTCTTTTCCTCCCTACTTCATTGAGATCGGCAAAACTTAAACACTGTCCAAATTTGAAAATGCCGTTGGTGGTGGTGGTTGCTTCATTCTGCCTTAGGCCTTGACCTTGCATGGCCTGCTCCTTGCGGTAGTTATAGGTGTATGGAGAGCCCGAGTTGGTACTGCTCTGGGGGCTCTAGTGAGCTTGCCATATGGCCCTCAGAATACCCGAGACACCGAGGAGTAGAAGCATCACTACTTGTGGGTGGGAAGTTTGGAAAACTGAGATGAACAGTCCTTTTTTTTTCAGGATTCAAATATTTCTCGAGCATCCACTATGTGCTGAGGTGCTTGGGATAGATCAGTGAATAAAAGAGACAAAAATCCCTACCTTCGTGGAGCTTACATTCCATCAGGAGAAAGACAGTAAAAAATTAATATACCCTTTGCTTGAAGTGATAACTGCTAAGGACAAAGATAGAACAAGAGGGAGGTTGGTAGGCAGTGATTTTTAAATAGGGACATTTAAAGTAGGGACAAAGACCTGAAGATGAGAAAGTGAACTTGTGCTTGTCTGGCGAAGAAGGGTCCAAATAGAACAGTGCTGTGAAAGCCCTAAAGCAGACAGATGCCTGCATGTTGGAGGGACAGCCAGGAGTCCAGTGTGGCTGGGGCAGGTGCCGGACGGTGGGATCGGAGAGGGACCAGAGGCCAGATCATGGAAAGCCTCTGAGACCAGTGAAGACCGTGACTTTTACTCCAGCACACTGGGGAGGCCCTGGGGCCTGTGGGGGGTGTGGGGGCGGTGCGGGAAGACGGTTCTAAGCCGAGGAGTGAAAGGCCCTTGTGTAGATTGTAACTGTAGCAAAGCCATGCACAGGGTCTGCGCCTGGGCGGCTCAGTCAGTTAAGCACCTGCCTTCAGCTCAGGTCATGATCCCAGTGTGCTGGGATCGAGCCCCATGTCAGGCTCTCTGCTCCGCTGCGTCTGCTTCTCCCTCTCCCTCTGTGCTCTTTCTCGCTTTCGCTCTCTTTCAAATAAATAAATAAAATCTTAAAAAAAAAAAATGATCTTGATTGTAAAGTTTGTGTTCTGGTCCAGAAGTCAGAAGTTTGAGCTGGGAAGAGGACGTGTTTGTTTTTGAGGCTTGGGGGACACCATTTTAGTAGGTGGAGTGCCCAGGATGATTTTTGGAAGAAAAAGTGGTGTTGGAGATGGGAAGCACCACTAGATGGGGACAGAGAACCGGGAACAAGTTCCCCCAGGCCTCTGGCGCCTCTGTTTCTCAGTGAGGCCTTGGCTATGGGAACAGCATTCGCTGCTTTGTTAAGGTGCTGGAATCTCTGCAGTTTGAACTTCTGGATAGAGAATTATGCCCCTGCTGCTGTAGAAATGCAAATGTTTGGGAATAAAATCCATGGTTTAAAGCGGACTGTGGACAGAATGCGGATCAGCACAGGCCTGTCCAGCCCCGGACCAGAGGCTGGGCTCAGGGGATGGGGTGGGAGGCCAGGAGCTCATTTGAATTCTTAGCCAGGACTCCTCACTTCTCATTATTCTGGAGTGAGATGTTTCCAAACCACGACTTGCACTGCTCTGTGCTCTTGTGTTTTCCTGTCATTATAATTATCCTAGTTTGCTCTTCAAGGCCATTATCCTGAGTTCTCCAGAAGCCGGCCTGAGTGCTGTGTGAAAGTCAAATACCACCCTACTGTCTAGGCCAAAGGGGAGAAAGAGTAAAGGTTTAGGTTTCCATACAAAAATTAAAGAGTTAAAACTACCACCTTCACAACTCAAGCTGAAACCCTTACTTTGCCTCAGTTGTTTGGATAAGGCAGGGGATTTTATTTATTGATTGGTTTGCCCCAACTCTCCAGCTTCCAGGATCTGCTTCCCTTTGCACTTGGTAGGATAATTTTGCCAGTTTTCCTTCGCCCTGTGTAAGGGGTAAGAGGAAAAGATGGAGGAAGGGGGACAAGATTAGGGAGAACAAAAGGGGTCAGGCAACAGGCCAAGGACTGATCAGAGAGTCTGGCAAAGGGGAAAAGAGAAAAATTAGAAAGGGGTGAGCAAGAAGACAAAATGGGAGGAGAAGATGGGAGGGAAGAAAGCCCCTCATACAAGTAGCCTCTGCCTAGGGAGATGAGGTAGCTACCCCCACCTCCTCCTTCTATGGCCATAATCATACCTCTTGGCCCAACCCCTGCCAGGCCACTACCATGCATGTGTGTGTGCGTGTGTGTTTAAAGTCACTGGGGCGGGCGTTGTGAAAATCCCAGCAGTGCCAGGTGGACCTCTGCCTGTCTTCCCCACAGGACAACAGCTGTTGCTTCCTCTGGCCTGCACTGAGAGGGGTGAGCGGAGCTGGCTGAGAGGAGGGCCGGGCCTGGATTGGTGCCCACCCTTCAGAGGCCAGCCTCTCTCTCTTCCGGACTTCCACACAGCCTCTGGATACCGATGGAAAGCCCATGAGAGTTTCCCTCCAAGCAGGAGCAGATCCAAATTCTGTTATCCTAATTTTGTTACTCCTAGGATAAATAAAGGTAATGGGCTCATTTTTATAGACGGGGAAAGTGAAACAAACAGCAAGTTGGGGTCAGACGTGGGACTTGCTCTGGGTCTTTGAATTCTCATGACCTTTCCTGGAACAGCTGTGGGTCTGGAGGAGGCAGCACGGACAGAAGGTTGGAATCCTTGGCTCCCAAACCAATGCCTTTAGACAAGCCAGGATGTAGGAGAGGGGGACCTGCTCCGGGGTTGAGAGGCCTCATTAGGTCATTCTATCTCAGAAGCCATTGTCAGCTCCCCCTTTAGCTACAGAATAAAATTCAGATTCCTTGGCCTGATAGTCAAGGTCTGCCGCAGAAGCGCCTCAATTCTAGCCAAGGTGGTTTTCTATATTTTCTTAAACACACCTTTCATAATCCTCTTTATCTCTACTCAACTCTTAACTGTTCCTTGAGATCCATCCCAAGGTCCCAGGATGACCTGCCCCTCACACAGAAAATTTGCTCCGATGCCCCCCAATTCAGAGGGATCTTCTCCATCTCTAAATTCCTACAGTTCTGTCTTCAAGATGTACAATTTTCTGCCTTGAATTGTTGGTTTTTCTTCATATGTATTTATCATTTTCCTCCAACTTAGACTATCGATCTTCAGAAGACAAGGACCACCTATATAATACTTTTTTCCTACTTCCCACAGGGATAGCTTAGTGCCTTGCATATAAATGATTCTTAACTGATTCAACTTCTGGGTTAGAAGGCATTCATTGTGCCCCTGAATGATCCTAGTCCCAGGTGGGACCAGCAGCAACCTCAGCACTGGTTAGCAAATGGAGGAAATGACAATACAGCTCCTGGACTTCAACCCTGGGGTTGAGGTGAAGTCATGACAAGAAGGTTGAGCTGCATGAAGCAATCCTTTGGGTTCAAGGACAACCCAGGAACTGCCCATGACATGCTATGCTGGTTGGATCAATTTGGGTTGGAGAGGGCAAAAAAGTGACCCCACTGAGTTTGTGGTAAGCTCACTCTCGGCAAAATCTTGGGGTTCCCCTCCATCATAAGGAATCACCCCTGCACCTGCCATGCTAGCCACTTGTTCTGGGAGGAAAAGAGGGAGAGAATGTGTAGAGGACTACAGGCAGAGGGTCAGCCTTACAGGAAAAACAACTCAAAAGTTTCAGTGGTGAACATTGGTGAACATTCTTACTGGTAGAAAAACCTCACTACTCAAAGCAAAATCTAGCACAAATATTTCTAAGTTCTGGAGATTTGCCAGCCCTTTTCAATATATAAGGCATAAGTAATTCTGCCCTTGTTAGGAAATTTGATGCACTCATTAGACCAGGGTTTCTTTTCTTTTCTTTTTTTTTAAGTGTACTTATTTTTTTTAGTAATCTCTGCACCCAACGTGGATCTTGAACTCAAGACCCTGAGATCAAGAGTTGCATGCTCTTCTGACTGAGCCAGCCAGGTGCCCCAGACCAGAGTTTCTCAACCTCAGCACTTTTTACATTTGGTCTAGATAATTCTTTGTTGTCGGAGCTGTCTTGTGCAATGTCGGATGTTTAATGGCATCCCTGGCCTCTACCCAATAGATGCCAGTAGCCCCTCCCAGTTGTGACAACCAAAATTGTCCCCAGACATGACCAAATTGCCTGCCCCTGCCCCCGTTGAGAACTACTAAATTAGACATATGACCTTGAGCAAACTACTCTCTCTCAAACTTAGTTTCTTCATCTCTAGGGTAATTCTCATGTATGTAAAGCCCAGTGTAATGAGGCAATGAATTCCACAAATCTCAGATCTTGGGAGCAGATGAAACCATGACAAGGATGTCAGCATGGAAGCAGCAATGCTGTGGATCAGCACCTTGAAGATAGGATTTTAAAGACCGGGCCACTAGAATTGCAGTCTGGAACCCGAAGGTCCATTGCACACTCAGCACCTTTCTTGGTCCTGTGCTCAGGCCTTTGTAACATGCTTATACGTGTGTCTTTCTTGCTGAATTATACATGTAATCTGGGCTGGAGCTGTTTTATTTACCTTTATACTGCCCCCAACATTTGTCCTAGTGCTTTTCAGACGGTATTTAACAACTTTAAAAAAATAAATTAAAAAAAAAAATTTTAAGGTAATCGACACAGGGCATGGCTAATAATAGAAAGCTTCATGAAGATGAATTTTAAGTCAGGTGTCAGAAGGGGCTCTACGTTAACAGAGCAGGGATGGGGGAGGTCACTTGGATCATCTGGGGAATAAAAGAGGCTTTGCTGATGTTGAGTTGGGGAAAAAAGCGAGTTGGTGTAGAACCTAGGAGATCAAATCTAGTTATACGTTGTTTATACACCGTGTGATGGTTGAAATTCACGTTCATACTGACCATCTCATTTTCTTCTTGCAGCCTCATGAGGTAAGGAAGGTATTCATCCCATTTTATAGACGAGGAAGCAGAAATTCAGTAGGTTATCTGATATCAAGTCCTGAACTCTTTCCTCTATCAAGCGCTGTTTCATTTCTGTAACTGTGTGTGCAGAGCGGAGAGGTGGTAGGTGGGCATCGAATGAAGGAAAAGGAAGACCAGGAGCCTTTCATGAAAAGCCCCTACCTCTTCTCAGAGAAGCTGCAGCCTTGAGCAAATAGGGAAGAAGAAGCATGCTTTGAGGTGGGGACAACAGCCAACTTCTTCAAAACCAACACTTGAGTCAACCAGGCTTAGGCACCTCCCTGCAAGTCTCCCACTCAGTGTTGGCCTATAGCCCCAGCCTGAAGGATACAGATGAGCCACCAGCCTGTGTGGGCTTCACCTTCACTTGCTTGGCCGTGCACACTTCCCTGGGGGTGGTCTTCCAAGCAGAGCCTTCTTAAACAGGATTTCCGGGTTGAGACTTCACATGAGCTAGCTCAGTGGAGGTGATGGGGGTAAGAGTGGAAGGAGGTGAGGAACAACATCCTGGGTAAAGGGGGTGGCATGAGCCAGGTTGAGGAGGTGGAGGGTGGCACAAAGGGGGAAACAGGCATGGATGGAGATGCAGTTGGAGACAGGGCGGGGGTCAGGTCATGGAGAGTCTTCTGTCCTGCGAGGTGTAGAGCCTTACTGGAGTTGGAGAGCATGTGGTGTCCCAAAGAGGGGAGAGCCTGAGCAGGGGAAGAGACAGGGACGGAAGGGACAGTTTCAGGAACAGTCTTAGGTGTCAGGGCTGTGTGACTAATGGACTCATGCTCATCATAAGTACTCACCAGGTGCCAAGCACTGGGCTAAAAGCTCTTGATCTACATCGTAATGAATTCTCATAGTGCCATGAGGTATAAAAGATTACCCCCATTACTAGATGAAGGAATTGCAACTTAGTGTGTTTTTAGCAAACTTAGATTGGTGATACACAGCCTGTCAACAGCAGGGCCAGGATTCAGCCAGGATTTCTGGTCTATTTGACTCAAAAGCCTTGCTCTTAACCACCTTGTAGCCACTGCCTCCCCACGGTGGGGTTAGGGAGCGGCGAGGGCCTAGGATCACAGATTTCTTGCATAGGTCACTGAGGAGCCCGGAGACAGGCAACACAGGGGGAGAAGCAAGTTGTGGGGAGGATGGGTTCAGTGTTGGACCCCAGTTCATACCGGCAGGAAGAGCCACACCAGTACCCGCAATGCCTCCGTACTCTGCACCACCCCCAGACTACACACTGGCCTCGGAACACGCGGGGCTCTGTGTTCTGACTCCTGGCTCCCATTCCCCAGGACACAGATGGAGTAGGCTGTCCTACGAGGAAGCCCACCAGCCGGACAACACCCTGCAGGGAGGCCAGGCCGTGAGGCCTGTGGAGGTCAAGGGCTGCGTCTGGCAGGCTCTCTAGTTCTCATGAAGCAGCAGGTGTTGACGAAGAGAGTTAGGAGTCCGGCCCTTTCCCCACATGGCAAACTACAGTAAGAATCTGATCCTCTGGGCTCACGGGCCCACACTTCCTCACGTCCAGGCTATGCTGTCTAATCCCACCTGACAAGCTGGAGGTTTCCGGGAGTGCTCGGACTCTGATAGGGCCTGAGGTCGGAGGTGAGGGAGCCGGTTGATAGTGTGATTGGGACCGGTGTGGAGGTGATGATGGGGACTGTGGGGGTCCACGCTGAGGTCTCTGGTTCTCGACCCAGCACTCAGTGGGAGGCCCTTGTGTGCGTGCGCGCGTGGCCTCCGGGGCGAGTGGGTGAGCAGCAGACCCTTTGTTCTCTGAGGGTCAGGAATAAGCAGCACTTTGTCCCTCAGAAACATGACAGTACTTTCCTTCTCACCTTTCCACAGGAGCACAGCCTACGGACCAGAGAAAACATCAAAGAAAACCTAAGAACTTCGAGCCTTCTGCCAAGGAGCTGGAACTAAGTGTTCTGATGACAGCAGAAAGGAGGAGACCAGACAGCAATGTCTCTATCCTCCCACCCATCCAACCCCCTCAGCGCGGAGGCTCCTCAAACTCAGGGCACACTCCCTCCTCCCAGACCGGTCTTTGTCCAGAGAGCTCTCTAGCCTCTTCCCACCTTTGGGCTGTCTTTGGCCTCAGGCAAGAAGAATTCCTGCCCCTGCTCAGGCCCCGCTTGTCTTCCAGCCCCGTCCTTTCTCCACAGCAGTAGTTCAGCCTGTTCCTTCTGTCCCCTTTGCATTTTTTACCAGAAAGGTTGACCAGAGCTGGGGATAATCGGGAAGAGTCCCTCACCCAAGGACCGGTTGGACCTCTTATTCTGTAAGTGTTACAGTTCACAGACTGGGTGAAGCTGAGACCCCCGGGTGGACCAAAGGAGTGGGGGGAGTGGCTGAAGGTGGCCGGCCAGCTGAGTGACTTTGGGCAAGTGTCTCCTCTTTCTGGGACATGAGGACCTAGGTTAGATTATCTCTGAAGTAAAGTCCAGCTCTTAGGGTATAGGGGAAGGCCCATGGCGAAGGCTGGGGGAATGCTGGAGGCTCTGGGAAGGGGCAGACAGCCACTCTAGACCCACCTCTGCCTCCAACCACTTAACTCTACCAGCAGGAAGAATGGCACCAGCTGTGGCCTGGCTCCTGTTTCTCCAGCTCGTTCTAGGGCCAACTCTGGTTGTGGACATCAAGGTGCAGATTGCCATCAAGAACTTCCGCATATTACACATCGACTATCCCCGGGTTAGCTACCCAAAGGGTTTCCAGGGCTATTGTAATGGTCTCATGGCCTATGTGCGGGGCAGAAAACAGAGCTGGTATTGCCCCCAAATCCATTATACGGTGCATGCCCCCTGGAGAGAGATCAAGAGGTTCTGCAAGTACAGCGATAGCTTCTGTGAGAATTACAATGAATACTGTACACTCACAGAGGACTCCTTCCCTGTCACAATCTGCTCTCTGGCCCCTAGACAGCCACCTACGAGCTGCTACTACAACGACACCCTAACCAACCAAAGGCTCTACCTGCTCTGTTCTGGAAAGCATGATGCTGAACCGATAGGTATCATCGGCCTCTACTAGGAAAGGCAGGCTTTCATTCTGAACTGGCCCCTACGGCCACCACACATCAGCCTGTCCCTATTCCCAGACCTCTGATCCCTGGTATAAGGCTTCCTCCCTGACTTCAAAGGCACGCAGGATCCCCTCCCAAGAGACCAGGGAGGTAGGACAAATGTCTCGAGCTTCAGTCACCATGCAAAGTCATACTGCCTGGTAGCCTCTTTCCAACTTGTTTACCTCCTTTCTTCCTCTACCATCCTCCCTCTCCCACAGACAGTCTTACCCACCCAAGAAGCTGACTGTGTCCAGTTGGGAGTGACTGTCCATCCACTGGGCCAGATCCTGATTCCTGGACGGAGGCCCAGAGCCTCAGCTCACACCATGGCAACCGGCACCCAGCTCCATATCTCAATTCCCCATCCCCAACACCCTTCTCTTCTCAGCCTTCCCCATCTCCCTTAGGACTCTCCACTCACTCACCTTTGCAGTAGGTACCTCTAGCTACAGGGACCTCCCTGAGACCCTTAGACTCATTCTAGCCTCACTTCTCCAGAAACCCTCTCAGTTCCCCATCTGCTCCTCTCTATGAAATCACTGATCTTTTCTCCACATCACCTGTTCTTTCCTTTCTTCTCTACCACAGAGCCCAGGGTAGTCGCTCCCTGACATTCCCAACCTCCTGTAGTCACCCTGTCTTCCTTTCTCTGACCCCTTTTCCTTCCATCCTTCTCATTGTGGCTCACTGGAGTTTCAAGTTACCTTCTCTGACCTGTTCCCTCCAAGATTACTGCATCCCTTTCCTTCCCAAAGCTCCTCCTGACACCCCCCAAACTCCAAGATCTCCTGCTGACAGGACAGGGCTGAGGTGAGCCTGGCTGTAGTCACAGAAGGTTTTAAAACCACATCTGAGTGATGTAAGATATAACCACTGGGTGAAACTGGGGTGAAGGGTATGTGGGACCTCTCTGTACTATTTTTGCATCTTCCTGAGACTCTATAGTCATTTCAAAATAAAAATATAAAAACACATCCGAATCAGTTTCTCATTTCATTCCTTTTTCCTCAGCGCACCAGAACTCCTACTCTTGGAGTCCTGGAGGCCACCCATCTCTGGCTGTCTTCCTGGGCTACCCTTAGCAGTGAGTGGGATCTTCTGTTCCATGTGTACCACGATGGAGGTGGGGTGGGGCAAAACTCAGTTCTGGGTTGGGTGTTAAAAATGGATTCTCTCGGGCGCCTGGGTGGCTCAGTTGGTTAAGCGACTGCCTTCGGCTCAGGTCATGATCCTGGAGTCCCGGGATCGAGTCCCGCATCGGGCTCCCTGCTCGGCAGGAAGTCTGCTTCTCCCTCTGACCCTCCCCCCCTCATGTGCTTGCTCTCTCTCATTCTCTCTCTCTCAAATAAATAAATAAAATCTTAAAAAAAAAATCATTAAAAAAAAAAAATGGATTCTCTCCCCCACTCCCCCAGCTTGAGCACAAACTCGTAATAGGAGTCAAGCCGAGTAAGTCCTTGGCCCATTCTAGCTGGTTTCTATTTCTCCAACAAAACCTGGACTACAACAGATGAGGAAGGTAGAGGGACAGGGAAGCATCTAGTTGGTGGTGTCTGGGTCATACTATGTCAAATCAGGAATTGCTACTCTCCTCTGGGAGATAAGATTGGTGGATACCAGTAACGTATGAATGCAAAGGAGCAATACTTTCGCCTCCACATCTGGTTTGTCTCTTACCCCCAAATATATTCCTCAGCTCTGTTCTTAGAACCAGTTGTTGAAGGGAATGCTAACTTCTGGCTGGGAGGCATGAGGCTAAGTAGAGAAAGGGTGCGGAACTGGAAACCCTGACTCCTCGGGCTCTCTCTTCTCTCTGCACTGGGGGGCCCATCTATCCCTCATCCTGACGGAAGACAGGGCTCATTGGCTGCTGTACACACAGATGTTTATTGTTCCCTATGCTCCCTGGTGTTTACGATGCCAGGCTGAGGACTAATTGACCCTAGTTGTTGAGGCTACTTCTTATTTGCTGCTCTTCTTGTCATAGGTGCCAGCACCCTTGTAGCCACTCACGTAGCCTGAGTTGTCAGTTGTCTCTTCCCGTCCTGTGATGCCTTTGCCCTTGCCACTCTCATCAAAGCGCTCCTTGTGCGTGCCCGTGTACTTGCTGGTGTCCGTCAGCCGGCTCACCCCACCCACTGTCGTTGCTTTCTGCAAGCCAGAGGAGGACGGGTCTGATCCCTCTCTCTTCCCCTTTGCTGTCACACCCCTTCTCTAAAGATGGCCTCTGATTCTGCTAGGACGCTGTGCTCTGTTCTACCATTGGCATGGGCCTACTTTCTCTAGGGCCCAGATGCAGCCATGGGTGGGAACTGTGGCAAAAGCCATCCACTCCTGAGAGTGGAAGAGTTTGGTGTATGGGAAGGCATGGGGGTGTGTGTGGATTTTTCTATGTCCAAGGGAGTTATTGTGACCAGGCTGCAGCCAGAGGACTTCAACCCCAGACCCAATATGCAAGGTCCCTCCTACTGGGAGGGCCCTATTTGAAACCTAGAGTAGAGGGAACTTAAAATAGAGAGGGAAAAATAGGGAACAGATGGAAGGTGAGAGGCAGGAGGTCAGAGATTACACCTTACAGAAGATCAGGAAGAGGAGTGGGAATCAGGTACCAAGTCCTCTGCACTCAGCGTTCCCCACCCAAAGCTATCTGGACACTTGGGAATAAGTCTAAATTTTGCCATTAAAATAGATGTGGACCCCTCTCTGGGCCACAAGTTTCTCATCTCTGAAATTACTAGGTGATCTCTAAAGTCTGTTCCAATACCAACAGGGCACCGGAGGCTTTCTGCCTTGTCTCCCTACAGTATTACTAATGGCAGAGGTGAGGGACAGTGGAAGGTGGGAGGGGAGATAGGAGCAGCAGGGATCTGAGGAAGTCCGGTCAAGGGTGAGGGATGAAGCATGTCACTCACAGTAACACCAGTGGTAGCTGGATCCTTGCCTTCCATGAGTTTATAAATGTTCTCCAGAGCTTCATCTGGGTTCTTGTCCTTGAATCGTTTCTGGCCCAGTTCCTTCATTGCCTCCTGGAACTGCTGAAATGTGATGGTTCGGGCATTCTTGGCCCTGGTCAGTCAGACAGAAATCCAAAAACTCTGGAACATGAACTCATCACCTTCCAAGGTCCAACCTTCCCCTCACTCGGATTTGGCCTCTTGACACTGAGTGTCCTGAGGACAGGGAATAGCACAGGGCCAAGTACCCGGTAGGTGCTCAGTAGATCCATTATGCATGTTCTGCTCCATGTACCCTTCCGTGTCCCACTGCCTTGTTGGTTCTACTCACCATCCCTACCTCCCATCTCTGGTCCCTTACTTGACTTTGCTGAATATGATGTCCACATCAGTGGAGGTGACTGTCTTGCCATCCATGATGCCACAGTCTTTGCATAGCTTGGAGAAGTTTTTGTTGTTCATTTCAGTGGCACTGCTCGATGATTCTCCAAAGACAGCAAACCTCTGGAAAGTTTTCCCTGCTTCTGATGCCATGATCAACTGGAGGTAGGGGAGGACAGCACGGGGGGAGACTTGGGGGTGAAGGAGGAGGGGATGGGAGGACTGAGGAGTAATAAAGATGGGGGTTAAGATAAAATCAGGATCAGTAATAGGAACAAAGCCCCTCTTCCCTGTCCCTCTCTTTCCTTTTCCCCCCTCACTCCCATCCCACCTACTGTTTCTAGCATTGGGGTACTAGTGTGGATCCTACATACTGAATAATCACACTACCACCCACTTCCCCACCACTTTTGTGCACCTAAGAGTACCCGAATGGTGTCTGACCCTTCCCAGCCTTTGTTTATGTGTGTGCAGGTATGTGGGAGCCAGCTGAGCGGAGAGACTGTGTGGCAATAGGGAAACAGACAGGGGAGGAGAGGGAAGCTTCTATGACCTCAGCAGTGTTTATGTGACATCACCTCCAGCCCCAGCTACAACCCTAGTCTTGGGAGTAGAGTCCTTTCACTTCCCCACTTTGCATGCTACATTGAGCAAGTTGCCAACCTTCCGATCTCTCCAGTTGATCAAGCTCTCCCTCATCATTCCAGCCCAGCCTGACCCAGTCTTCTGGGTCCTGGTCAAATTGGTTTATGCTCTGCCTCCCAAAGCTGAGAGGAGCCCAGGGAAGGGGTTAATGAAAACAGTCTGGCATCAGCCCAACAGTGCCCTCCTTTTTAGTCTCAAGCCCAAGATAGTGACCGACATGGAGAATCCCAGTGGCTTTGGCAGACCAACCTCAGTGAGAACTTTAAATGGTTTCCAATGTTGGGCCCAACATGGAAAGAGCACAGGCCTTGGAGTATAACAGATCTGGGTGGGTCAAGGTGAGCGAGGTCAGGGTGAGGGTGAGTCTCAGACTCTGAAAATATTCCATGTAAGTTTCTGTGGAGGTCAGGGATGTTCCTTAGGGGTTTCTCTTTGGCCTGTTCTCTGGTCAGAAGCCATATAGATGGATGAACTAAACAGGGCAACTAGGTTGGTGACTTCCCTCCCCTTCCCTTCTAATCAGTCACCAATTCCTATGAATGTCACTTTCTTGTCTAACAAACCCTTTCTTTCCATTCCTATTGCTCCCACAGTTACTCAAGTCCTTGTCATCTCCTATCTAGTTGATTTTCCTGGCTTCTAAAGGATCTCTCTCCTAGGCGCACCTGGATAGCTTAGTCAGTTGATTTGAGTGTCTGACTTTTGATACCAGGTCAGGTCCTGATCTCAGGGTTGTGAGATTGAGCCTGCCTGTCGTCGGGCCCCTCACTCCGTGGGGAGTCTGCTGAAGATTCTCTCTCCGTCTGCCCCTCCCCCTAAAATAAATAAATCTTTAAAAGAAAGAACGAACGAAAGAATCTCTCTCCTAAATGGAATGTTCCCCCCCATAATCCATCTTTATCACCCACCCATCAGATTAATTTTCACAAAACGATTTTTTATCCCTTAATCCTGCTCAAGGGGTGCCTGGGTGGCTCAGTCGGTTGAGCGTCTGCTTTCGGCTCAGGTCATGATCCCACGGGGTCCTGGGATCGAGCCCCATGTCGGGCTCCCTGCTCAGAGGAGAGCCTGCTTCTCCCTTTCTCTCTGCCTGCCTCTCTGCCCACTTGTGCTCTCTCTCTCTCTGTCAAATAAATAAAATCTTAAAAAAAATGTTTAAAAAAAAATCCTGCTCAAGAATGCTGTAAGTATCTTCAGTACCAAGACTCGTTGCCTGTCATTCAAGGACATTCACACTAGGCCCACACTTTTACCAAACAACACCCAGTTCTCATCCATGTTATTCTTCATCTGGAACCATATGGCTTGATAGGCTACCTCATAGTGGCAAGAGCGTAGCCTTGGAGAGGAATGAATCTGGGTGGGGATTTGAGTCCTGGATTTGTTATTTACAGCAGTAGTTGGTTGGCTTTGGGCAAGTGACTAAAGCTTCTATTTAAGAAATCTCTGAGCTTCCTTGAGTCCCTCATCTGTACTGGGAGGACAATAACAGTATTGCGGGATAATACACAGGAAGTACCTTGCACATAGCAGCTAATATTGAATTCTTCAAAGTAACTTGTGTATTTCTGCCCTCAAACTTTCCCTCATGCTCTCTTTCTTCCTGGATAGAATGTTCCTCTCTCCCACTCAAATACACTGTGGTTGTACTCCTCACAGGGTGGTACATTGTAGAAACAAAACCCTTTTCCTCCTCTGAATTATACCAAGATAATGGTTCCTAGTCTGTAGGCTGTAGTCTCCTGGGAGAGGATTTCTGAATTATTAAGGGCCCCTGGAATCTCTATATACACAGAACACTGATCATCAACTAAATAAATAATATGCTTTGCACACGTAAGTATTACTAAAATACATAGGTGTTATGATTATCAGAATTCTATACAAACTGGGGTGCCTAGCTGGCTTGGTCAATAGAGAATGTGGCTCTTGATCTTGGCGTTTAAGTTCGAGCTGCACATTGGGTGTAGAGATTACTTGAAAATAAAATCTTAAAAAAAAAAAGAATTCTCTACAAACTCATTTAAAAGTATTGCTGAATTCATGGTTTGTCTCCATCAGAAGATACTAAAACCATGAAGTGGGAATGGAGATCTCTGATCTCCCACATGAGAAAGGTGCAAAATGATTGCCATAGGATTTATTGCCCAATCTTGTATAAGCATCATTTTTCTTAACTTTTTCTATATTTATTACTTCTCCCACCTACTCCACCATAAGCTTCTAGAGAGGGTAGGACTACCCATCACACTTCTTTGAATTGCATGCATACAGTGGCTCGCACAAAATAGGTACTTAAAACTGTTGCTTCATTGAAGGTATAGTTTGAAGCTGCCTCTGGCCCAAGGGAAGGAAGTTAGACAGAGATTACCCTGGTTGGGTCACTTACAGTAGCTGGGCTGCGCTGGGACCCCCCTGACGGAGAACCCTACCTTAGGGCTTCTGCCTCATTTCTGCCTCTGGGAGGCTGAGACCCCTAAGCCGCGGAAGCAAACAGATCCCAATGGAAATTTCCCACCTCCTGCCCGCCACACGCCCCTGCCTAGGCCCCTTATCAGGTTCCCCCTGAGTCATCCTGACCCAGAGACGAATTTAGATGCTGGAACCTCCAGGTCCCTCCCTCCCCCACTCCAAGTAAGACTACTTTAGACACATCAGAGATTGCGGCAGGCAGGCAAGGCAGAAGCTCTTGCTCTGGGCGTCCTTCCTTCCCCAGCTCCAGGAGGGCTGGTGAGATCTCTTTCCTGTCCTACACAGCTTCATCTATGATCCTAGATGAAAGCATGCCGGCAGGCTTTTCCTCGTCCAGCAGAGTGTTAAACTGGCATCCAGAGGGGAGAGGGGACTAGGCAAGCTGCCAGGGTGCCCAGCTTCTGGGCCAGTTTCTGAGGGAAACAGTTATGAAGAGAGTGGGGGAAGGGAACTGAGGAAAACTTCGGCGCTCCAAATTGGGAGAAGGTATCGGGGTCCTTTAGACGTGAGGCTGTTGAAAGCCAGGTTTAATCCTGCACAGTTCTCCTACTCTGGGTCACCTCCTCCCTCTTGGCCCCTCCTTCTTTCCAATAGACCCTGCCAAGTGGGGATGAAAGGGGCATTGATGTTCCTTGGATGGGAGGGGGTTGTGGGTGGTGAGGGTGGTGGTGGTGGGGGGTGGTTCCCAGGCAGGAGGGGGGAGGGCTATTTGGGGGTCTTGGGGGGGCAGTCTGTGCTGGTGTTGCCGTTGGCAGCTCCAGTTCCATTGGCCATTGTTCCTAACTGGCCTGCCGCCCAGCCCCCGAAACAGTAACCCAGGAACCAAGCTGAAGGAAGATGGAGTGAGGACCCTGGTGGGGAGGCGGCGCTGGAAGGGTGCAGGTGGGGAGAAATTCAATCCGGTTTCCTTGTGCCTAAGACAACTTCGGAACCCCACGGGAACCCCACCCCCCAACTATCCCATTCCGGGCGGGCTTCCTCTAGGGGCACAGGGAGAGTGCATCTGGGGGGGGGGGGGAGTAAGACAGGGTGAGTGAGGAGTCTAGGACGGCAAACCCACCCCAGGCCCTGAGAGTGACACGCAGCAGTCCCTGAGAAACCACGGCCTGGGCACTGAGATTCAGCCGGGCAGAGCTGGTCTCACCCTCCTTCTCTGGGCCGGACTAGGAGGGGTTAGCGCCGAAGCCACAGGGTCTCTTGGGTTCCAGCCCGGGACACAGCGTCCTCCCCAAGCCCCCACTCCACCCCCGCAGAGTTAACTCCGCCTCCGCGCCTGTTTACCCTAGAGTCAGAGCCCCTGGGGGGTCCCTGGCCCCTCCTCCGCCCCCCCCCGGGGGCCTTGACCCGGGAGTTCCCGTCGGCCATCCTCTCCCCCCCGCTCTCCTGCGATCTCCCTCTATTTATAGCGGCCCCCCGCATTCCCCGCCCCCCCCGCCTTGTTTTCCAACTTCTCAGGGAGCAGCCGAGAGCAGGCGTCGGGACGCAGCAGAGAGAGGAGGTACCAGGACCCTGGGCACCCCGAAGTTGAAACTCCTGCGCCCCCGACGGTCCCCCACCCCGGCCCCGCTCCTTTGGTGCTGGCATACCTGCCCCTCCCAGCCGGCGAGACCCTCGCCCCCTCAGCGGCGATCCCCGCCCACCTCCTCCTTCCTCAACCTAGCTGTGTTTACCCGCGAGCCCAGTCGAAATCATGGGGTGTCAGCACCCTGGGTTCGTCTCCCCATTACCCGTCCCCACTACTGAGTCTGGGGGCGAAGGAAGGAACCACAGTGCGATAGGCAGATCCAGGTCACGGGTGGGGGCGGTGTTGAGGGCGGGCGTGGGGATCCCCCGCAGGACTAAGGGATCCCAGCACCCCCCACTACAGCCCGGTTGCGGGGGGGATGTTGTGGGGAGCGCGAGCGGAGCGAGGAGGCACCCCGCCGTTTGCTTCCCTTAGAGGACCCCGCGGGCCCCCAGCACAGCCCCTCCCTGAGCGGCAGACGGCCTGGGGCGGGGTAGAGGGGAGGCGTGTTTACGGGGGGTCTGGGGCGGATCTGCAGGGAGCTGTCGGCCGGTGGGCGGGCTGGGGCGGGCCGGGGGCGGGTCTGTGGGGAGCCCAAGCCGGGCGGGCCGGAGAGTCAAAGGCAAGTGAAGGTGGAAGCGGCCGCGGCGGCAGCAGGTAGGGGGAGGGGCGGGCGAGGGGCCGCAGGGCCTGGATGGCGCCAGCCGCGCCGGTGGGCGGTCGGATCCCAATCCCTCCGAGCTGACCGCTCGCGGGAAGAGGCCCGCAAGGAGGGGGCGCTGGGCTGCGGCGCACAAAGGCGGAGGATCCGCGAGCGGCAGGGCGTGTTTGGGGCGTGCGCGAGGTTGTGTCCAGGGTCCAGGGCGCTCCTCGCCGGCCGCGCGAGGGTGTCGGTCCCCACGCGGACGGACAGCGTTGGGACTTGTAGGGACAGGTCCCGGGTGCCGGGCCCCGTCGGTCCCAGCCGTCCTACCCATCCCTTCCCCGCTGGCGCTCGGCCCTTGCGGGTCGTCGGGGAGGCTGGGAGGAGACTGTGGGGGCCGCCCTCCCTCCCCTTCTCCGCTCGCGGGACCCACACCGAGACTGGGTGGAGGAGAGACGCGATGGCACGAGGCTTTTTAAAAACGTTTAACTGGGACACAGTCATGCTCAGCTATCCTCATCTCACTCGAGAGCTGTCAAAAATCTTGAGGATCTCCTAGTCCCCACTTCTAGTTTGCAAATAGGAAATCGAAGCCAAGGGAAGTAACTGAGTGGGCCAAGGTCACACCCTTAGCAGCAGAGCCGGGACTAGAATCCAGAGGTTCCGACACAAGCCACGCTCTTTCCTCCACATCAGCACTTCCTTCTCTCCTCCCCCAGCCTGGACTGATGATACCTGCTCTCCATGTTGCCCCGCAGGCCCCTCCAGCCTGTATTGATTCTAGCTGAAGCCTAGAGAAGACGTGTTCATTGGACTCAGGGGTACAGATTAGGGAGGGTTAGTGACCCGGGGAGGGTTGGTGACCCAGGTAGTCTAGATCTTGGCTGAGGCTTTCTGCCCCTAAAAGACCCAGCGTCTGTCTCCCATGTCATTCACCTCATTGCCTTGTTTTCTCAGACCCCAGAGCCAGGAGAAGAGAGAACCCTGACCCCTAACCACACTGCATCCAGCCAATAGGAGCCCAGTAAGTGACCCCACCCCCAGGCTGCAGGCTCTTAACTGCCGATCTGCACAGGTGTTCTGCTCCTCACCAGCCGCACTAAAGTTGAATGTATGCTAATTTATGCACAGTCGGGAGGGAGAGTCTTGGGAGGAAGGAAAGGAAGCACTGGGTCAGTTGGACACGGGTGCCCCTTGTTCTTTTTGTTTCCCTCTCCCCCTCTTGGTCATGGTACTCGGGTCATTTTTAGCCCCTTTCCATTTGAGCTGCTGACCTTGAGGCTTAGTTGAAGGTCACAGTTAATTGTGAACTCTGACTACTCAGTCCCTCAGTATCTTTGGAGTACCCAGTCACTGGGCCACAAGCTTCATCCCTAGCTAACTCTGGGAGTGTGGGGTGGCCCCTAAATATAGCCTGGGAAACCGGAGCTGCACTCCTGCCCCACCCTGGTATTTCCATCCAGGATAGGAGAGGGGGGTCCGGCGCTGTGGGTG